TTAGATGGGCGAGTGGGGCAGGATGATGTTGCACCACCCAAATGAGCTTACAAACCAAAATTTTAAAACCCATGTGGGGGGAGGGAAATGAAGTAATAACTGAAGCAAAAATTTGCTCCAAATAAAATTATTTCATTTAAAAACACTAAATGATTAATTTATGTCTTTGGACATACTAAATATGTAATTTAAAATTTATTAAGAAAGAAAAGGCTACCTACCATGAGACACAAAAGAAGACAGAATGAATATGATTTTTTTTGTATGTGTATGCAGGTAAAGTTCTAAATTCATCTTTTTGCATGTAACTGTCCCTTAAGCCTATACTTACAAAAATGGTTTTTTTAAATTACTTATTTACTAGTAAATGTAAGAATTAATAACTATAAAACTGGCTTGGCTTCTGTAACACAGTGGTTACAGAGCCCATACAGGGAGGGCGGCGGGTTCAAACCTGGCCTGGGCAAGCTAAACAACTGCAACAAAAATATAGCAAGGCGTTCTGTCAAGTGCCTGTAGTCCTAGCTACTTGAGAGGCTGAGGCAAGAGAATTGCTTAAGCCCAAGAGTTTGAGGTTGCTGTGAACTAACTCCAAGGTAGCACTCTACCAAGGGTAACCTAGTAAGACTCTGTCTCAAAAAAAACCAAAACTATAAAACTCTCAGAAAAAAGCATCAGAGTAAATCCTCACAATCTTGGGTTGGACAAAGATTCTTACATATAACATCAAAAAGCTAAGCAATAAAAGAAAATAGTAACAAATAACACTTCGACAACATTAAAACCTTTACTCTCAAAAGCTACCATTAAGAAAATAAAAAGTCAAGTCACACATTGAGAGAAACATACTTTCAAATCATAAATCTGATAAAGAACTTATATCCATAATGTAAATAACACAAAGGCTAATAAGCTTTATGCTTAGCCCATGGTCAAATTCTAAACATTGATTAGTCCAGTTGTATAAATCTGTAGCCACTTAGGATGTCATAACACGCTTTCCCATGGTGAAAATGATTTTTTAATGGGTACCTTGTACACAATCCATTTCTAAGTCTAATTAAATTTATCTGGGGAAAACACCATTGGCTAAGTGATATAACTAATACTAGTTAAACAAAATGTTAATATATGCCAAGTGTTAGAATACCGTTCCTTCTAAAAAGCATAATAACCAACATTATTAAGAAATTGGAATTCTGTAATTTTGCATCTTATTCTATTTATAAACAAACATCCTATTCACAGGGACAACAGCAATATCTCCAAACTCATAGCCACCCCTTTTTCTAATGCAAATGTAACCACACAACAATTATATCTTTATTTTGCTTGGCTATATAAATAAAAATCATCATTTTCACAACAGAAGTAATGAAAGCCTTAAGTATTAAGCAGATTACACATAAAGCCATTTCTCATTTATGAGCTATAATTTAATGTGGTGATTATATCTAATGTTACTGTTTAATGCATGGCATCTTACAGCTAAACACTATTAATAACAGTAGCTACCACCATCTGAAGTGTGCCTCATGAATCAAAGCCACCTTGTGTTCACTTAGAGTTTGGATTTGTTCTTCATGAGATCCAGATTTATTACAACTTGCTGAAGGGGTACAAAGGAAGACAAAAAATCTTCTAAGGAGCTTCAAAAAAAAAGGGGCAGCAAAAGATAATCATTTTGCCAGAATTCCTCTTCCTTGCTAAGTGGAACACACAGGACAGCTGTGTCTCCTTTATTTGCCGAAGAGACTTTAACAGGGCAATAAAGGGCCACTTGCAGTGACACGGCATGGCCCTCCCCAAAGAAGCCACCAAGGGGGCAAGCTGACTTTCTAATTCATTACAGAAGAAAAAACTAGAAAACCCAAAGTCACAAAAGGCTTTTCATGAATTGTATGAAGACAGATGAAGATTCAGAATAAGCTCATGGAGCTAAGCTCAGCAGAAACACTGCAATTCTATACTCAACAGAGAAATGACACCCCCTTTCACTGGCCAAAATGTAATAGGACCCCCACAGCCACTACAGCACATCCATGAATGAAATGAGAAATTCCTTATCTCTTTAGGCTAAAATCTACTTCCCAATTTATTTTTACCAGTGATTAATCATTATGCAGGAGGTGTTTCCAACTGAGCTTTATCAAGCATTAAGGAAGCAGTCACCACATGAGACGCACTCTGTGAAGAGGGCACGAAGTTAATGACATATTTCCATTATCATACAATAGTGAGCCATACCATAAAGTGCTGGGACAGAATGATGTAAGAATGCTTAGGGAATATAAAAGAGGTAGCAATTAAAGGACTCCAGGAAAGCTTCACAGAGAAAATACCAGGAATGGTAAGAAAGGTGGTCAGCCCCCAACAGAAGAGGCATAATACAAGCCGAAAGAACTCCAACCTAACAGCAAGAGGGTGTGAAAGCGCCTAACTGGAGAATGGTGATGAGTTCTCCACTACTGGACATAGCCCATAAGGGATGCTGCTGGAGACAGGCAGAGCAGGAGAAGTGGACTGATCAAGTGGATAGGGATTAGAGGTTCAAAAGGTACAAAACGTGGGGTAAATATCTCATGAAAAGTAGGTCTTCAACTGGACCTTGAAAGACAACTTTTCCTAGTACACATTTCATGATGACTGGGCTAAATAAGAACTTCTCTGAATCCCATGGAGAAAACATGATAGAATTTAGTAAGTTTTCACATTCAATGAGAGAAAACAAAATAATTACTAATCAATACAACTACAACAGGTTAAAACATGCCACAGGACAAAGCTCATCCACACCATTCTAGGCCCCCCAAAGACACTACAGCTTCCATCTGAAAGGGCTGCAATGAAAACAGATGTGCTCTTTGCAGGGCTGGTGGCCAAACACAGTTCTCCACTCAATGTTGGATCTTCTAGAGTTATGGAATGCAATCTGGTAGCCAGTAGCCTCATGTGACTATTTAAGTTTAAATTAATTAAAATTGAACAAAATTAAAAATGTGAAGGCTGGGCATAGTGGCACATGGCTGTAATCTTAGCACTCTGAGAGACTGAGGCTGGAGGAATCTGAGGCCAGCCTGAACAAGAGCAAGACCCTGTCTCTACAAAAAAAAAAATACAAAAACTAGCCAGGTGCTTTTATGGTTTGTACCTGAAGTTCCAGCTATAAAGGGATATTTCAAGTGACTAATAGCTGTATACGACAAGTGACTATAATACTGCACAATACTGCAGGTATGGAACATTTTCCTTCCTCAAGAAAGTGCTATTGGTCAGTGCTGTCCTAGAATCACCACTGCAGGAGGAATAGGCAGAAACTCCGTTAGGGCAAAAAGTCATTACAAATATCTTTGACATTATCCAATCCCTTAGCACTAACCTAGGGATACACATGTATATTTGATATGTTTGCCAAACTGAATTTTATTATCAAAGGAAGAGTTGTAGAAAAAGTTATAGTGAAAGCAAAAGCTTATGCCCTAACTCCATGTACAGATTCCACAGCAGAAGCTTTGTACCAGAGTTCTGAAAGTAACTATGTAATTCATAAATACTAATGAGTTTGTCAAGACGGCCACAACCAATTTAAAACAATAAAGAAAGGTTAGTGCAGCTCACTTGTCATCCTAGGTGTCTCCCAAAATAGTTATATGAAAAATAAATCACACTTTACCCCATTAGGCAAAGCTTACCATTTGACAGAATCCTATGGATAGCCAATCTATGAAGAGAATCGTCACTTCTAAATTTATACAGCTATAATGTAAGCATGTCAGAAACTAGGCTACTGTGTTATTGTCTTTCATCTAAAAAATACCAATTCTCTGTTGTGAGCAACAGTCATGGCGGAGCAAATCCCAGAAAGCAAACACTGACTATGGAGACCGGTGGCCGCAGGCACACGCCTTCTCCTCCGTCCCAGGATGGACATCCTGAGACATCCATACTTAATTGGCTTAGAGGACATTTATTCATAAAAATCTCAGTGAAGAAAAGGAAAAGAACAAAAACCCAACAGAAAGTGAGCGAAAGAGTTTAACAGGTACCTCACAAAAGAGGATCTCTCCTGAGTTAATTCCATTTCATTAACAATCAGAAAAATGTCAATCCCAATCCTAATTGGATGACACTAAACAGTCAGGAGGACAGTAAACCAGACAACAAACAAGACCAAGGACTGGATTAGAGACACTGCCAATCCCAAATGCTGCTGCTCCAAAGCGTAAGTAGTAAAATCACTTTGGAAAATCACTTGGCATTATCTATTTAGATCAAATATATCTGGAAACAGACACTCCCAGTACCAGGTATACGTCTGAGAAATTATGTCTGCCCACGGGCACTTGAGACATATATAAACAATGATAGCAGCATTATTGTTAGTAGCCGAAATTGGAAACAAACCAATGTCAATGTTAGAATGGATAAACTATAATACATACATATGAATATAGCAATTAATTTCTACATAGCAATAAACATGAATAAACTACAGCTACATGTAATAGCATAGATAAATCTTACAAACAATATAAAGTGTAACTAATTCTATAAAGTACCAAAAAGAGTAAAGTAAAATTAAGCTAACATATTAGGGTGTGTGTGTGTACCGTAGATGTTACAATTACCTAACACAAGAACAACAATCCCAAGGCTCTGGTTATCAGGATCAGTCAGACAGTGATCACCAGGAGAAGGAGAGAGAAGAAGTAGAAATTAACGTGGAACAGTGTCTGGGGCACTTTGAAGGCTGAAGAGATATTGCTGCTTTACCTGTCTGCTGGTTTCGTGGGTATTTCTTTATGATAATTTATTTACCTAAAAATTTCTGTTTTCTATACTTTTCTATATAAATGTTATATTTCAAAGACACATATGCAAACTGACGAGAAAAGCAGTCCCTACACGTACACGTACACAAAATCCCTCAGGTCAGGTCACTTGACCTCGTTTCATTCAACTGTCAACCACTTTTCAAACTGTCCCCCACTCTCACTTACCTCTTGCACGCTTTTACTCACTAGTGGTGAAACACTGATATTTTCCCCTCCTTCAGGGTGGATCTGGAAATTCACTCTTTGATAAAGAATCTGAAAGAAGAACAGGCTATATTATAAAGGAGTTCTGTCTTTAAATTTGCCACTTTCATAAGGCAGGCTTGAAATAAATTCTTTTGAGGAAAAAAATGCTATTTCATAATGAACAGGTTTTGGTAAGAAGCTTATTTTAGAACTTCATAAACAGCTTCACAAAGATACAACAGTTTCAAAGTGGGAATCAAGTGTGAAAAACCTGATAAACAATGTAATGAATGACTGTGAGATGAAAATGCGAATTCCACAATCTCCTCAATATTTAATAGTGTTTCTCAACAAGGTCTCTGCCCCCTCCTATGCAGATCTATCCTGTGAATTTTAGGAAATTCAGTGTATCTGTAACCAAATGCCCAGCTCTACACCTAATTTCCACAGGACTTTCTCCTAAGGCAATGGTGCCTCCACTGGCTTTAATTCATATGATTTCAGATATATTTTACGTAACATTTTCTCGTGTTTTATTCTTGACGACACAAACTTTCCCCATTACCCTCAATAATTTACTACCTAATGTTACCTTCTGTTTTTCTCAAGCCTCCCTTGTATCCCTTTTTTCCTTACTGTATCAAAGCCAGAAACACTATTTTATATGCTAACATTTTCAAAGCCTTTTTTCACATAAATAATACCTATTTTTCTTCCATAAATTAAAATTCTCATACTTTTAACACATACCTTAGACCCACACATCCCCCAAAATGCACTTCATACAGGGCAGGATTGCTTTTACTGGGAGCACTTACTTCTGCCTGCAGAGAGCTGCTGGCTGCCAAAAGAAGTTCAATGCTGCCAGGAGGGCAATGTGTCAAAGCGAAAGCCATGAGCTCCTGACGAGTGGCCAAGTCCTGGTAACCTTCTGATTGTCCTAACTGGCTGCAAACACCCCAACTTTTGGGATAACCTGCACAATGTGCAAGAAGAAAAAGAAATGATTCCCAGAAGAAGAAAAACATCCAATCTAAGATGAGAAATATAATGATTTTCTGTTCAGAGACATTGTGATAGAGACCTGCACAGAATCATTCACTTTGTAGTGGCAAAACAGAACCAGCCCTCAATATCCAATAATCATCTTTTCCTGTACAACATTATATTCTGAATTCTGACTATAATATACTTTGACTCTTATTTGAAGGACTTCTAGCTTGAAAGCAGGTTTTTCCTAACTATAAAGGCTTCAGGTCAGAATAATTTTTCTAAATATGTAAAGTAAAAAATAATACAGGTACTACCTTAACAAGGAACAAAATTATAGCAAAGCTCTCTAAATAAATAGTTTTAGATTAATACAACAGTGTTTTTATAGAAGACCATAACTGTTCTAAACTTAATGTTGCAAAATCTCCTGGTTAATATCAGATAACATAGCTGATCTGATAATAACATAGAAACCAATTCTCTAATGCTGAGGTTATAAAGTACTGAATATTTTCCCAGAGTTTAAAATCTTTTCATAGATGTATTGGCTGAATATTCTCTCCTTCACCAAACTTCAGTCAGGCTATTCTGAGCCTCTTTCAACTAGTCCTAAAGCTTTGTCCCAGCCTTGTTTGACTTCCATACTCCAGTTTTAGCAAGAATATAGCTGAGCCAGGTTACCCAGAATCTCCATGACCTCATTATCTGATCACCCTCAATATCTGGTCTGACTTCTCCTCCTCCGGTACCCTTAATACCCAATCATGCTGGCCTGCTTTCAGCAAGGATTCTTGATATCCTTTCTTAATAATTTTCTAACCACCAACTCCCTTGGTCTACTCAGAGGCTATGAATGGCCACCCGTCCCTGTATTCAGAGTTGAGCCCAATCTCTCTCCTTTGTTACAATAGTTGTAACACCTATCACAACAGTCCTGAATAAAGTCTTCCTTACCATTATTAGCAAGTGTCAGAATAATTCTTTCTCTAACAGTATACAGACAAAAAGCACTGTTTTAACCATACACTATTAATGTTCCAATAGTGGGTAAAAAAATTGTGTTTGGGCTTTCATATATCATTAAATATTTCAAATTTCATAAAATTGCATTTCATATTTCATAATATATTCAGGCACTGCCATAAAAAGCAGACCATTTAGTACAGAACCCATGATAAGATAGCATCACTTCCTATTCCACTAGAAAATATGTTCTTTGTTTTTTGTTCAAGAGACAGGGAACAATTTGCTGCCCAGGCTAGACTTGAACCCCTGAGCTCATTTAGTAATTTTCTATTCCTCCCCATTGGGTTCCTACATAAGGAATCCTCCTGCCTCAACTTCTCAAGTATCTGATAACACAGGCACATGCCATGTTCTTTATGTTCTTTAAATTATTTCTTAAACATTTCTTTGAATTATTTCTTTTTTAAGTCTAAGAACAAAGACTTGAATTTGAATTTCCATATGGAAGATTTTAGAATTCTACTTCCCAATTTCTCAAAATTACTTTGAAAGGCACTATGTTATCTTAATAAAAAAAAAATAGAGATACTATACAGTTATAAAATAGAGAATAGAAGTATACATGAAATAAAATATAATGTCTAAACACATTAAAATATTTATATTAATATACTCCATATAAGCAAGACCAGCCATGGTAGCTCACACCCGTAATCCCAGTCACTCAGGAGGCTGTGGTGGGAGAATTGATTGAGAACAGAAGTTTGATACCAGCCTGGGTAACAAAGGAAGACCTCTATCTCTAAAAACATAAGAAAAATTAGGGGGGCACAGTGGCATGAACCTATAGTCCCAGCTATTCAAGATACTGAGGCAAAAGAGTAACTTGAGCCCAGGAGCTCAAGGCTGCAGTGGGCTATGATGGTGCCACTACATTTCAGAAAGAGATGTAGTCTGTAAAAAAATTAAAAATATATATATATATATATACACACATATATATACACCATATATTTATTTATCTCAAGCCTAAATGTGGCTGGCTTACCAATCAGGTCAACTGATTTCAAACAGAACTTTTCCCTTACTTATCACGTAAAGAGGCTGTGTCCAAAGTGCTAACCCGGCCTGGCCAAAAACTGCAAAAAATAAAAAAACAAGTCGTCTCCTCACCAGTGGCCATCAGCTCCTGACAATGCATATTGGCTGCTTTGTAGTCATGGAAACGAAGTGCTTGCTCAACCAGAAGGATGAGAACTTGCCCACGCCTTTCCTCTGGGTCTTCACCTGTAAGTACATGAGCAAGACTACAGGATTACAGCAGTATCCACTGATTAAGAAAGACTCGTTAACACTGCTTTTCAAATTAATTCAAAAATAAAACACAGAGATTAGGCTGGTTCTAAATGATCAGAGGACAAAGGTTCACAACAACTAATTTTTTTAAATCCCCATATCTTCTAATCAATCTACTTATTAAGTATGAAATTAGACCTCAGTCTCCTGAGAGATCAATGATAAAATCAGTTCCTAACTAAAATACCCAAATCAGAAAGTCCAAAATGAGAGTAGTTTACAGCTCTGTAGAAAAGCCTGTCATACTGTGGTAAGGGAAAAAGGAAGGAAAAAAAAATCTATGCTGCAAAAGGAAAGCAGGTTATGAAAAGGCTTAAGAAATAATGATCACCCCATTGAGTGGGTGACAATAATGAAGCAGTAATATTTTTTCTCTTAAAAATTCAACTAGTATTTAGAAACTAGAACATAAGTGCTGTCCAGAGCACTGAAAAAGACTGTCTTCTGGAACAAATTCTAGACGGGACCCTTTGAACCTGAATAGACCTACTATACTGGGTCCTTGAGCACATCCTCAGTTTAGCCAGAATCCCTCATCCCAAATATCTGATCACCATTGGTATCTGACTAAACCTCTCATTATCCCTATCCCCCAGGGGCTCTGGTCTGCCTCCAAAAAGGCTGTATTCTGTTAGGTTGTTTAGTTAGAATGTTTCCTTAACCTTAATGATTTTTTTTAGTAATTTTCCATCCTGCCCACTGGGTTCCTATACAAGCAAACTGAAACCCAACTCAATGGAAACAAATTGCTCAGATCTAAAAAAAAACAAAACTAAATTTGGAGACTGGAGGTCCAGTCATCTTGTAAGGCTGGCTTGTTCAACAGTTAAGCTTTCTGGTTACAAATGGCAATGCTAACTTCTGCTCCTAATCTCACAATCATTTTGCAACAACCTGAATAAGCCTGTCTTCATTTTAAAGGACAGATGGTCCCAGCAGCTCAGTATAGACATGCATTTTTAGGATATGCTAGTCTTTCTAGACAAGACTAATCCTTGCCCTAAAGATGCTCTTCTGATACCTGTAAGCATACAATCCTCTATTCACTTGGGATAATGTCAAGAATAATACAGAAAACTTATTCCGTGGTTTCATATTTCCAAGATTTACCTGCAACCCTCAGCAGCTCAGCAAGGCCCAGAAGCTTGGCGGATTGTTTGTAGCATGTGGGAGACTGGGAGATGCACTCCTTGATGAGGCTGATCCTATCAGAGCACAATCGCACTACAAAAGAAAAACACAGTAAGACTTGCACCAGAGACGTCACAAAAGGGTGTCATGATCTTCCAAATCTAAGGCAACCAAACAAAACGAAAACTGTGTTATTCTCCAGACTAATGTGAATTAATAATAGTAAAAAGCACACTTAACAAACACCAAAATTATTATCGCTTATGAGTAAATAATGTATAACACAGATCTTAGTACATAAACTGTCAATCTGAAGAAAAAATGTGTCACCTTTTTAACTACCAGCTCAGGACTTAAGGGAAATTTTGAACAAGGTAGAACTCGTCTTTTCAAACTTCATATAATTCTTATTATACCAGCCACCCACCACCTGATCCTCCAAAACCTGTTCCATGTTCCCCATACCCACTTGCTATCTCTGCTCCATCACCCAAGTTGGGAGGGTGCCTGTTTTCTATTAATTCATTAGTTAAGTTTTTTAAAATTTTCTTATATCAGCTTTCACCTAACGACAAACAGCAAGTCCTGGAGTACAGGCACAGAGCTCTGAAACAAAGCAAAGTGAAAAAATGAACTATGTACAGCAACGACAATGAAAATACCTGGACCATAAATTTCTAAATATCAAGTTGCTTTGTTTGTCCAGTATTACTGATAAATACAAAAACCCAAAACCTAAATTGAATCTGTGGGATGAACATGACAAAAAGAACACAAAGGCGATATTCCATCTCCACGTCCAGAAGATTTTCTGGCAGTCATTCTAACTGGAAACTCCAAATCAATATGTCAAGTTGGAAAACTGTCAAGATATGAAAGCAAATGTCTTTCTTAAAATACTCCTCAGTCAGGAAATTCTCAGAAGCTACAGCAGAGCAGCAGTTTTGGCTGCAGAGACTCAACCCAGCCTCTGATACACAAATATTACCTGCAGCCATATTGCTAACTGATTATCACAGAAATCAGGACGCAATTTAATTATTTCGAAATTTGATAGCATTTGGGGGACTTCAAGAAACTAATTTTTGTATTCTATGAATCTGTTTGAATTAAATAGGTAGGTGAAACACACCCACACATTCACGGAGTCAAATCTATCATAATGTAGCCTAACAGGAGATACAAACAGAGCAAAACATTCATTATACTCTGGATTCTTCCCTAACTAAAAATTGCAATTAAAACAAATGTTTGAGGGGAGGTAGTTAATGATTTAAGACATGTTAGAATAAATTGAAAATGCTTTGTAGTAAGCCTGGTTAACAGTCACAATTTTAAGAAGCTTTGAGCTCAAAAATTACAATAATAGAACAACTGAACAGAATTTTCTAATGATTTAGCAATCACTTTACATACATATTAGGTTAAGATGCATACAATAATTATGCAAACAATGGTGCCTGAAGTAAAAATAATACTTCTTTCAAATCTAATAAGTTTGTCTGAAGCCGAACTTTAACTTTTAGTATAAGCAATATGGAGACCCATATGAAAATAAGACTGTCTGGACTGGCTTGTATCCCCTAAAATCCAGCCAACTCTGGACACTACAGAGGATAAAGACACCAAGGAACTTGTAACAGGCCATCATTATCTGAAGGTATTAAGAGGTTAAAAAAGAAAAAGAAAAAAAAAAAAGAGGAGAGACCATTATGGTGAGAACTTACCAAACAACAGAGATGGAAGAAATTCAGCTAGACTCCCCAACCCCTGCTCCCAAACATTTCCAGAGTTAAAAATAGAAATAACAAGAGTACAGGGAAGCCGGCCAAGTAACCCTATTCACTGAAGGACACTGAAGTCCAGGATTTGATACAACAGAAAATCTATCTCCCGCTCATTGAATAAGGTCAGGTGAGGTCCAGGGCACTGTGCGAGGCACGCTGTCATCACAGCATCAGGTCGAGGGGATCAGTGACTATGTAACAGGTTGCTTGCTTTGGACAGTATCTTTATGACTTTCACATTTACAAAAAAAAAAAAAACAAGAACGTTAATATATCATTAGTAATTAAACTCTTTTTTTTTTTTTTTTTGTAGAGACAAAGTCTCACTTTATCACCCTCAGTGTGCCATGGCGTCACACAGCTCACAGCAACCTCCAACTCCAGGGCTTAGGCGATTCTCTTGCCTCAGCCTCCCTAGTAGCTGAGACTACAGGCACCTGCCACAATGCCCAGCTATTTTTTTTGTTGCAGACTGGCCGGGGCCAGGTTTGAACCCACCACCCTCGGTATACGGGGCTTGCGCCCTACCCACTGAGCCACAGACGCAGCCCCAGTAATTAAACTCTTATAGAAAAATTCTCTATCATTCTCTCTTTAAACAAAAATAGAATGAATTAAAGAATAGCTGAGTCAAAGATAAAAAGAAATTAAACTATTACTATTTTTAGCTAGTTATAAGACTATGCAATTCAAACAAAATACAGAAATTGTTTACTAAAACAAATGTATATCTGAAACTCTCTTCCATAATCCCCAATTTCTATTTTTATTTTTATCCAACAGTCTCACTGCTTTGTTACCAATGTTATTTCTTTTGAATGTTATAAATGTGAATAAACTTAAAGAAAAAAAAGCTGGCTTTATTTTATCTTTTGTGTTTTCACCCAAGATTTCAATCAAAAAATGGGATGGGAGCATGGTCCATTCCCAATGAATTAAATGACCAAAGTCAGTCTCTAGTTTTAAAAACTAAAAAGGAACATTAAGGCAAAATAAGTTAATAACAATGCAACAATAAGTAAAAAACTCACCTTGCAAAGGCAGGATCTTTACTCCAAACTCTTCAAGACATCCAAGGGCTTGGATGAGATCTAGCTCCTCTTGAATGGCAGGGGGTCTGTCTGTTATCAGTTGTAAGCAACACCTAAAAGAAATTAGATAAATGTTTCTTTCTGGATTTTTATTTTATTTTTAAAAAATCAGATTAATGTGAGGGTACAAATGACTAGGTTACATTGTTAGTGTTTCTAAAGTAAAGTTCAAATTGTAGTTGAGGCAGTTGAGCCCTTCACCCTGGGGGTGCACCCTCAGTGTCCATCAGTTGACAGCTTACCCAACCCCCTACCTACTGTCCTTCCCCCTTTCTCTCCTCCCTCTCCCTCCACTTGAATATATTTGTATTATTCTCTCATATGGACATGTATTTGTTTTTCTATTAGATTAATATTAGTACTGAGCACACTGGATACTTGCATTTCCATTCTTGTGATACTTTACTAAGATGAGTGTGTTTCAACTCCATCCAAGTAAATAGAGAAGATGTAAAATCACTATCGTTTTTTATAGGTGAACAGTGTTCCATGGTGTGTGTGTGTGTGTGTGTGTATACATACCACAGTTTATTAATCCATTCATGGGGTAATGGGCACTTGGGTTGCTTCCATGTCTCGGTAATTGTGAAGTGAGTTGCAATAAACATTCTAATGCAACTGTCCTTATGAAAAATGATTTATTTTCTTCTGGGAAGATTCTTAGTAATGAAATTACAGGATCAAATGGAATGTCTACCTTTAGCTCTTAGAGCATTCTTGATACTTCTTTCCATAGAGGCTGTATTAGTTTGCAATCCCACCAGCAGTGTAAAAGTGTTCCCTTCTCCCCACATCCATGCCAACATTTGCAGCTCTAAGATTTTGTGATGTGGGCTATTCTCATTGGAGATAGATGATATCTCAGGGTGGTTTTGATTTTCATTTCTCTGATGATTAGGGACAAGGAGAATTTTTTCATATGTTTGTTGGCCATTCTCCTGTCTTCTTTAGAAAAGGTTCTGTTCATGTCTCTTGCCCAGTGATAGGTAGGACTGTTTGCTCATTTTTGTTGATTAATTTGAATTACTAAATAAAATTTTAAAAGTAACACATATTAGCAAAGTTGTCTTTCTATATTCAACAACATGAGATCCAACACATAATTATCAAAAATGTGCTGCATTCTAGGCATTCATTCTGCCAGATGCTTCCTATTTTCTTACTTAATCCTTACAGCAAGCTCGTGAGATAGGCAAAGATCATCATCTATCTGCCTTTTTGAAAAGCAAAAATTGAAGCTCAGAGAGGTAAAGTAAAGTAATTGCCAGGGGTTACACTGAGTATATAAAGGCATTGTGGGATGAAGCATCATAATTCTATTTTCTGTGTTGTTTCTAATACTGAACCTAAAAGTAATGATATGAGAAAGGATTGTTTTAGGAATTAAAATAATTTCCAGTTTTCTTCTAGGGAAAACAGAAATGTCTTGATTCAGGAACAATTTGGTTCCCAAAAGAAACAAGAAATGACTTAAGAAAATGCCCAAAGGGCATTTTTCTGTTTAAAAAGGGAGAATTAGTTTATAATGCAATACTGAGACCCACTATAGAAGAAGGTGATTTGCTGATCTAAGAATGTAGTATTTCTATGGGATATTTTAAAGCACATTTAAAAATATTTAGAGAAACTACATTTAATAACTATTTTATTTAATGAATAAATTTATTTTCAGATAAGTATTTACAAAGGAACATTGGGACACAAGACTAGAAAGACAGGCGGTGATCAGGCCACAAAGGACTCATAAATGCTAGAATCACAGACTACCAGACACAGACACTCAGGCCCCGGAACAGCATCTTTGCGACTGAAGGACAGACTCAGGACTGGCTCGTTCTTACAAAACTCAAGGATTTACATCAGTTCAACACTCACATGTTCTTTTAATCCAATTGTAAAAAGACTATAAATATTTTGTACCTTCTTTCAAAATCTTAAATACACTTACTTCTGAACCCAGGAATTCTAGTTCTAAAAATTAACACTATAGACAGGGTCACATATGCTCAAGAACATACAATTATATGGATGTGCACAACTGGGTTGGTTTTGAAATTAAAGAAAGTAAACTGAATCAGAAACTAATTAAATAAATTCTATAAAAGTAAAATAATGTAATATTTTATCACCCATCAAAAAGGAATAAAATAGACCTACATATATGCATATGGACAAATCCTTATATAGAATGCACGTAAAAAAAGCAAAGTAATGCATGTATAAATAGTTAACAACCTAGTTGTGATTTAAGAAAGAAGAGGGCAACATTTAATAAAATGCTTTGGAAGGATATACAAGAAACTGATTTTAAAATTAATAGCTGAGGGATAAAGTTTGGGGGACTAGAGTGAGGAGAAAGATTTATTATCAATACATACCCTTTTGTATTATCTGTTTATTGCTTTCTCAAAAAAATCTAGTTAATAAATAATACTTTAATCACTAGGAAGGTCTGACCTATTTTCTATATTCAATATAACTGTAAATACTGAAATACACCCAGGGTAACAGATCACAATCAATTCAGTGCTACACTGAACACGTAGGGCATGTATTTAAAATTAAGGTGTGTTCCTGTGGCCAAGAAAGGAATGTAAAGAAGAGGAAAATACTCGTAGGACAGTTTTTTAAATGATCTCTGAGAAATACCTGTCAAAAAGATTTAGTCAAACACAATTTCCAGTTACCATGGTTATTCTATTTGGTGTTTTCTTCATTTAAAGTAAAAATAGAATCACTTGGTAGAAGAGAAAAAGATTTTCTAACTAAACAACTTTGTCAAGTTCAATAACCTGGTTTGAGAAAACCTGACTTCTTATGAAGGGCTGGAGAGGTTACTTTTAAGCTTTACTGAGGTTAAAACCACTACTTAGTCATTTGAAGGGAGAAATGACACTAAAATTGCTACCAAATGATATATTAAAATAACTTTCCAGTGAATTTAAAATTTAAATGTTAAAAAAAAACCCACTGAGGTACTAAAAAATTACGAGAAATATTTTAATGGCCTTGGAAATTAAGATTTTCAAAGGATGACACAGAAAAAAACAACCACATTTTACAAAAATTCTGTTTAATCATTAGAAAGATAAATCATACATAATAAAAACTGGGCAACATAGTTAAAATATTAGAGATGGGCAAAGGGCAAAAGTCCCTTATGCCCAAAAGAAAACTTCTAAGAACCAACAGTAAAATGATGAACATCCTGAAAGGAAAATAAGTGAAGGATAGAAACAGGTTTCAAAAGAAAAATTACAAATGCAGGTGGTAAATATGCAAAAATCAGAAAGACTGACAGTTTAGAGAAGGAGCACACCTTCAGTGCCCTACTAACAGAGAATACACCAGTACCATTTGACAGCATATATCAAAATTGTGTGTGTTTCCTCCTTGATTCAGCAATTCCACTCTACATTATTTATACAACAGGCAAAGTTATAACTACTTTACATACTCAGTTAATATTATAATAGTCCTATAATGTAATTCTATTGTCCTCATTTTACAGGTGAAGAAGATGGGGCCCTAATGCCTGACCCATGGTCATAGCTGGTAGCTGGTCAAGATTGGCTTTGCACACAGGCATCTAGCTCTAGAAACTATGATCTTATCTTTATACTCAGCTGTTTCTCAGAGGATGAAAACAGGGAAACTTGAAACCAATTAAATGCAGTCAAAAAAGGGTTAGACCAATCTGCTAAGATGCTGTAAAACATATGGAAATGTTGCAGATCTATAAATATTTGCATAATAAACTGATAAAAGTATATAATAAAAAGAAATGTACAGTATATCTCATTTTTGTAAAATACATATATGCAAAAGAGAGTTGGAATTATTAGGTTCAAAAATCTCATTAAATAAATAATGGATAATTCACTATCAAAAAATGTAGAATCTCTTATAAATTGTTAATCAGAAAATCTGACAAGACAGAATAAAATTAGGATACATAGTGTCGGAAAATGAGATGCAGTAAGAATACACAAAATCTAAGTAATTTGCAATAGACAACAAAAAGGTCCCCAGCTTACTTCAGTTTCTTTGATCAAGAAAGAAAAACTCATAGATTACATGAAAAATTCAGGTCCTCTGAAAAACTGCAAATTGCCTTAAGCAGAGAAAGTAACAAAGTATGTTTCTAAAAGTGAATGAGGATTAGCTTAACATTGAATAAAGAAAAATCGAGCAGGGACTACAAAGGAGATCTGGGCGGCACCTGTGGCTCAAAAGAGTAGGGCACTGGCCCCTGTGCCAGAGGTGGCAGGTTCAAGCCCAGCCCTGAACAAAAACTGCAAAAAAAAAAAAAAGAAAGAGAGAAAAGAAAGGAGATCTTAAACAAAGCAAAACAAAACATACTCAAACTTCCAGGGTAGGAATGGAAGGAGAAATATACACTGAGGGATGAGGTACTAAAAAAACAGAGCTGGAAAATAACCAGTGGAAGAAAAGCAGTTCCGAGTCAGATGGGGGGAGAGGAGGCGTGACGGACCACAGACACCACAGGGTCTGACACTGCGGTTAGATCCAGAGAAACTCATTCACAGTTGGATGTAAGTAAAAAATGTAATTATTACATCTAATCTATCAAACATACTACCTTACGTAGCCTACCTCAAATATTCTCAGAAACACATCAGACTACAGGTGGGCAAAATCATCTAACACAAAGCCTGTTTTATAAGAGTTGAGTGTCTCCTGTAATTAGCTGGATCCTGTACTGAAAGTGAAAACCAGGATGGTTCTGAGTACTCAAAACACGGTTCCCACTGGGTTCTGAGTACTCAAGATACGGTTCCCACTGAGTGTGTATTGCTTTCAGTCTACCGTCAATTTGAAAAATCTTAAGTCAAACCATTTAAAGTCAGGGATTGCCTGTAAACCACATTTAAAGTTTCTAGAATATTAAAATAAGATTAACTTTCTGAAGATTTAAGTTTTATTAGTCAGAGGTGATATAGCTTATTCTTATTTGATATTTATTAGGTTTCTAATTTTATAAAAATTAACTTTATAAAAAGTAATTTTATTTATTCATTTCCCTTTTTTTTGGAGGAATGTGCCCTGAGGTTGAATGCAATGGTGTCATTCCTCACAGCAACCTCAAACTGGTGGGCTCAAGTGATCCTTTTGTCTCAGCCTCCTGAGTAGCTGGGACCACAAGCACCTGCCACAATGCCCAGTTAGTTTTTTCAATTTTTAGTAAAGCTAGGATCTCACTCTGCTCAGGCCGGTCTCGAACTCCTTAGTTCAGGCAATCCACCCACCTTGGCCTTCCAGAGTTCTAGGATTATAGGCATGAGATACCACACCTGACCTAAAAAGTCATTTTAAATCATTAATAAATTCTTCAAAAAAAAAAAAAGCACTGCAACTGTGTTTATCTAATTACTAAGATTTACGGTGTGAATTAAAAAAGCAGTATAACAGGACAAGAAAGGAACTGAATTTATAGTCTAAAAATTTCAAGCTGGAAGGTACTTTTTGAGCTTCATCTAATTAGGTCCCTTGTCTCTAGACAAAGTGGAGTTATGCAAAGGACACAGACACTACCCACACGGGCTGAAAATTTTCAGAACTCAAATTCACAGTTTATCACATAAATTTCTTCCAACAGGTGAGAAATTCAGACTTACAGAACATGCTAAAAAAAATGACCAAGAGGAAGTTGCTGGATGTTCATAACATCATTCGTTTTCTTTTAATATTGAAGCAAAAATAACTGTGCCCCATACAGCATAGTCAATCTGTACTTGTGACAATATATTTTGCAAAGTAAAGAATAAACTACTAGCAAGGGAGTTTGCATATTCTGCTTCCCTCTCCTCCTTAAGGACTATTTTGGAGTTATTCTACCTGGCCAGATCCATGCAGCTATCCGTGAGGCTGGTAGAAGAATTGAAGTACTCTCTGCTGGCAGCCAAAACCAAGTCAATGCTTTTCTGGTAACTGACCCTGTACTGGGGCTTCCCTTTGCGGGCTACGCCTGTGGCAGGGGGCAGTGAACAGGCGCTGCAGTGCATCATCTGCCCAGCCAGCTGGATGTTGTCAAGGCGACCGGAGCACAGAAGGCTTTCTGTAAATATCTGGGAAGAAGGAAAAACTAGAATTAGTGATAAAGTAGGAAGACTCAGTCTCAACAAAATGAAGGCTCTGAAATCCAAATGGAATACAGTGTAAAAATAATCCATCGCAGAGGTGAAGGTTGTGTGTGTATAACGTTTTAAATGCACTTACTGAATGACAATGAATATATGCTTCACAGTGATTAATCTTATGTTACATAAATTTTACCTCCATAAAAAATCATCTTTTAGAAAGAAGAAATAATAATCTTACTGAATAAATAAAACTTAAGCATAACATTTTAATGCATTACAACCAAGAAACGAACAGATTTTTCTAATATGAAAAATGTAGCTTTCCATTTTATAGACTGTATTGTTCGAAACAGAACATATTAGATACACTGTCCCAACCTCAACAGGCCCACTCTGCCTAAACTGTATTCTTAAATAGTTTAGTTTTTAAAAGAAAATCTCTGAAGATGATACATATATTTCATAATTGATTAAATCATCTAAATTCAGTCTTACAAACCAAATAGATAAGCCACAAATGTTGTACTTACACATAATCATTAAAATTACAATATACCATAAAATTTTGAGTTTTTTCTAACTTGAATATGAAAAATAATTCAAATATAACAAGAGAAACTGATACTCATGCAAATATTATATCCTATTAGGCAACTAATAATATCAATTAACATAAAATTAATTCTATAATTGAGATTATTTATATACTTACTCCAAGAAAAGTATAAAACAAAGCTATCCTTTTAGATCTACACTAATAATGTTATATATTTAGTATGTTGGATGAGAAATACCACAGAAATAAAAGATTAAAAGAAATAAGATTTCATGGAGAAGCAAAGGTATCCTTAAAATTACTGTAATCCTAGCCCTCTGGGAGGCAGAGGCAGGTGGCTTGCTTGAGCTCAGGAATTTAAGACCAGCTTGAAAACAAGAGAGACCCCGTGTCTACTAAAAATAGAAAAAGGCTCGGCGCCTGTGGCTCAAGCGGCTAAGGCGCCAGCCACATACACCTAAGGTGGCAGGTTCGAATCCCCAGCCCGGGCCCGCCAAACAACGATGGCTGCAACCAAAAAATGGCCAGGCGTTGTGGCGGGCGCCTGTGGTCCCAGCTACTTGGGAGGCTGAGGCAGGAGACTCGCTTGAGCCCAGGAGTTGGAGGTTGCTGTGAGCTGAGATGCCAAGGCACTCTATCCAGGGGGATAGCTTGAGGCTCCATCTCAAAATAAATAAATAAATAAATAAATAAATAAAAATAGAAAAAAATTAGCTGGGCATTGTGGGGAGCACCTGTAGTCCCAGCTACTTAGGAGGCTGAGACAGGATGCTTGAACCTAGGCGTCTGAGGTTGCTATGAGCCAACGTGACTCCAAGACACTCTAGCCTGGGGCAACAGAGTGACACTCTGTCTTTAAAAAAAATTAAGAAAACCATTCAATTTTCATAGAATCCTCTTATTTCATTTCTCTGCATCTAGGCTTACTGCAGCAGACTTTTTGACAGGGCTTTGTTGAGATGTCTGACAAAACCACTAATGTATAAGAGGGCTCTCCTATGAAATAGATATTGTGAAAGAAAGTAAACTATTAATGTGCAACCCCAGTCACTTATATGTTACAGATGAAAATGGCTTGCTCTACCGGCTCAGTGCCCATAGCTCAGTGGTTAGGTTGCCAGCCACATCCACCAGGGCTGGTGGGTTCAAACCCAGCCAGGACCCACTAAAAACAATGACAACAATAACAAAAAAATAGCCAGGCACTATGGCGGATGCCTGTAGTCCCAGCTACTTGGGAAGCTGAGGCAAGGGAATTGCTTAAGCCCAAGAGTTTGAGGTTGCTGTAAGCTGTGATACCTCAGCACTCTACTGAGGGTGACACAGTAAGACACTGTCTCAAACAACAACAACAACAACAACAACAAAAAGAAAACGGCTTACACCAAATGACTTCCAGTGTCACTGTATTTCTTTGGTCTATTTAATTAAGCCAAAAGAAATCAATACCCAATTTTGAAAAACACAATTTACTTACCCCAAAATGTAAAAGATTTTGCTAATGTGAATAATAAATATCTCTGTTCTATAAGCTATATATAAATCTTCATCTAACATTTCCAAAATTATACCACTGAGCTTTCTAGTTATTTTCTAAGGACAGTAAAACTTAATAACCAAAAATCAAGAAGACAATATAGCATGATTTAAAAGATACTAAAATGATATTTAAAACTTTAAGTTCACCAAATCCATATTACCATCTTTGAGAACCTTTCCAAACTTGTTATAATATGCTTTTAAATGTTTTCTCAACAGAGAGAGATCAGTGGACAGGAGTCATTAAAATATCAAAGCCTAAAAAAAAGGTGTTAAAATATTTTGACACTGTAATATGACAAGTTAGTATGACACATTACTCCACACAGAAGCTAGTTCAAATGTAATATATTTATTGCCAATTTTTCAATCAGAATCAGAATCATAGAGAGACATAGGAAAGCACCAAAATAATGGCATTCCAATGTAAAAACATTACTTCAAACATACTAGTGACACTTAGGTTTTAGACTCCATGAACATGCAGATTATTTTCTTCTGAAACTCATTTCAAGTGTTGCTTTAAATCAAAAAGGGGAAGTTACTGACAATTGTATTATATTCTGTGGTCTGAGACTGAAATCATTATGTGAACATTATGGTCATTCAAGCATTTAAAAACCTGCAATTCAAATAAAAAGCCATTAATTTCTCAATAGTCTACACTAGTGCTCTTTTGTTAAAAACACCTTGAATTAAAAAGCTAAACAAAGCCATAAAATAGAGACCTGTTTCTACAGCTCTGATTTCATCAGCGGTTCATGCTTTGTGGTATCAAGAGCAAAGCAATGTAAGAAATATCCCATATGATTTTTGGCTCTGGCTTGTTTCACAAGAAAATTCAAATGAGAAACCCTTTCTTAACTGCATCTTATTAAAAATGAGTTAGTTAAATCAATGAGTAAATCCCCGTTCATTACAGTCCCTGTCAAGTGACAACCATTTCTTAAATGTCCTTTATAGTCCATACAGTGCACTAGGGGACATGAGGAAGAACATGGCGTGGTAATGTCTGTTTAGGAGCCATTGACCAATCGGAAGAAACGCATATAAACAAATAACTACATTTTAAAGAAAGGCTATAGTAGAGGCAAGTTATATGAAAGGACAAAGGTAGACATCCTAGGGGGCGAAATTAGTGAGCTGAGTTCTGAAATTTTATCCATATTTCCAAGTAAAAAAAAAAAAAGAAGAAGAACATATTCTATGGCCCAGAACAATGCAGTCAAAGTCACAGAAACATAAAACAGCATGGGGGGGGGGGAGGAACTGATGACAGACTTGGAGCTACTGCAGCACAGGACAATGGAGAGGGGCAAAGGCAGGAGGGGACAGGGACTCTGAACTCTGCTGTGGCTTTCTGAGGCATGCTAAGGAGTAGAAGTACTCTCTGGTTATTGATAAGTAACATGGAACAACTTTTATGAAGTTTTAGAAGAACACTGTGGTATAAACCAGAAAAAGAGACAGAAGCCGGGAAACAAGTGGCAGGATTGCTGTAGTTATGCAGAGACAAAGACAAAGCAAGTCTGAAAGACTTTTCTCAGGTAGATTAGGTAAGCTTTTGTGACCACAAAGACTACAGAAGTAAGAGAATCAAGTATGAGTCAGAGTTTTCTAGGTAAGGACTGACTCACTAAATAGACAATGTTGCAACGCACAGACAGGGAAGACAGAGGAACAAGTGTCAAAGTCTCAAACTAGAGGCATCAGCCAGTTATCAGCTGGTATCCAACAGTATTAGCGACCAGGAAGCTCACTGTTATCACCCTTATGCTAAATAAATGAGAATAATCTAAGTTTCTGAATTAAAAAGGAATAGTTTCCATGGGGAGCATTACCTGGTAGCAAGCGTCAGCGTCGAGACACGTGTACACATTCTGCTGCATAGTCAGCATGTCCTGCAGCAATGCTCTCCAGTGAGACTCACTAACAGGAGGCTGCCTAGAAGAAAATGAAGAGGAAAAGAAGGAAACAATTCATAAAATTTGTCTTTTTAATTGGCCAAATATAAAAAAAAAAAGAATTCCACCTCCCAAATGATCAATAGGATTATATCCTATGTGAACTTCTGAAAAAAAGTTTGGCTTAAAGACAGAAGGAAAAGTCGGGCAGCTATGCCTTAGTAACAGAGATGCTGCCAAAGGAGCCTCCACAGTCTACCTGGCCTCAAAGGTGAAATAGCATTAAACGGTAATGGCAAAGGGAAACAAGCTGTGAGTTGCCAAGGTAAAATAAAGCAGAGTAAGATACAGCAGCTAAGATACGGCAGAATAAGCCTTAGGGACAGAGGTTAGTTTCAAATCCCATCTTCATTGCTCTGCTGCCCTCAGCAGGGGGTCTTCTGACTTCAGCTGACCATTCAGACCATAGGACAACCACAGGCTGACTCTGACATCAGTCTGGAGGACAGTAACCAGGCTCCCCAGCAAGCTGCACAGCATCAGCGTCTCTCAGTGACAGTACTGGCACAGCCTAAAGCACTCCCGGTGCTAAAGATCTCCTTAGGTGAGTGCCCAGATGCAAGGAAAGAAAGCCTCAGAGAGTAATTAGTTACAGTCTTTGCCATGTCTGGTTTAGGAAGACGCTACATGTCCTAGGAGAACCAGTATCTTTAGCAACAACTCACAGGCACAGTTTTTAAGGCTACTTCAGGGACATGTCAGTGACCACCTTTAGAAAAGCCCAAAGCATAAAGTTCTATCAGGTATTTCTAGTTCATTTATAGTTTCCCCAGGTCAGAGGTGATTTACTAATCAGGGATCCAGTTCTATATATACAGTGGGGCCTATGCAATCTAGTTGATTAAAAACCATTTTACATTGATTTCCAGAGTTACAGAGCTGAGAATTAATGGTCAGATTCTCTGGCAGCAGGAAAACGGGTTTTAACAATTTCACCCATAATCTCAGGCTAGTTGTGTGATCACAAGCAAGTCATTTAATATTTATGAATTTCACTTTTCTCACTGAAAGCCCAACTCAGAAAGGGAAGAGAAATTGATGAGACTAATTTCGACAAAATACTGGGAGTGAAGAAAAATGCTCCTCAACATAAAAGTTCAATTCCCCGTATAGATTTGAATAAATATTTTAACCATTCTGAGCTTTAGATTCCTTTTTTGAAGGAATGAAGATTAACTTAAAGGAGAATAAATGAAAAGGCACTCCCACTTTTCTGGTATATAATAAGCATTTAACAAATGGGAATGAATGAATCTGAGGTTGCAAACACATTGTTTTTAAATTACTTACATGATTACTAATATTGTCTAGTAGGAAAGAACGTACACTATAATTCTCTCTTCCTCACTTAAAAGTTCATCCTAGTTGAATACGTGCGTTTAGAACCATCATTTATGTTTTACCTTCTAGTCTTGAAGTTCTACGTGATCATGAACATCAGTATTTAAAAGGCAAATTTTTGTTTGGTTCTGTTTTATGTTTGCTAAATACCAACTCAATATTCTGTCTTTTTCATACCAACTCAGTATTCTCTCTTTTTTATCCAATACTTATCCAAGTAGCAGAATGTCTGATGAACTGAGTGTCCATCTTGCACCAGCCTGATAAACTCAGACCCAGGCATTGCCTAACTGAATTTAAGTTCTCACAGGCCAGCTGTTCTGAAAACCATCAACGCTGGGGCAGATGGTATTAATGTTTTTTCACACATGGCTACCCTAAGTAGAGGTTCTAATTAAAACACATTAATTATAACACATTATTTACCATGGCCTTTTTCAGAAGACATTCAATAAATAAGAATCAAGAGTAGAACTTAAACTAAATAAGAGGTTTGCAAATTAACAGACAGATCCCTGAACACAAACACAATATTAGTTGCAGCTTTGGAATGAAGTTGAATTTTCCAGGGAAGAATAGAATTGTACATAAGATGCTAAAACTTGCTTTGTAACAGATTAGCTGGTATCTGTCACTATTTAGAATATGCACAGAGTATTCTACATGTATTAAAGGCCAAGCCATAGAAGCATACATAAAATAATTAAGATTATTCTCAAGTTATCTACTTTGAAAACAGGGATCATATTCTCTTACACAGTCATAGTGAGTAGATCACTATGAGGAGAAACTAACTTCAAGGACTTCAAACATATTGAACTCAGGGGAGGATGGTAGATAATCTAGCTGCAACAGCCAGGCTTTCCTGCTGAAGAGTAATTCTAGAGTAGGGTCAGCAGATTCTGGAAATGCAATCTATTGGTAGCTGTAAAGAAATCTTAAAACGTACATTGTCAAACCTTCTAAATTAACCATTTAAAAACTATTGACAGAGAACCATCAATAAGTCAGTCCCCACTTGAGGTATACAGTGGCTGTCAACAGTTGTGCTGAAGAAATTATAATCTCGAAGGGAACTTGAGTCCCAAATGTGGTATGTCAGAGACCCCCAGCACTGCTGCAGTGCAGTAGAGTCATAAGAGACACAACTGCCGAGAGAGGCAGCTACACAATGCTAGGGGACTTCCAGGAAGGACAGTTCAGTTCTGCTTGGAGCCAAATGAGGTTTTGCAGATGTGATAGAGCTGGCACTTAAATGATTAAGAAGAAATATACAACAGTATCTGTCAGTATTGGACTTTTATTTTTTTGATATTCAGATTAAACTGTAACTCTAAATCCTAAAAATGAAGTAGGGAAAATATGTTCAAAAGGTGCAAAGTTGTCTTCACTGAATCCTACTGCCCAGGAACCGACTCCTTCAGGGTTGGTGAGCGAGAGGGCTTTCCCCAGGCTTCTCCACATTTATAGAGTGTCCCTGAGTGACAAATGCAGGCTCTCACCTTCCTATATACCCAGGGGGCTCACTCTCAAATCCATAGCTCAGCTCACACTTCTCTACTGGCCGGTATGTCCCCTTCATAGGAGGATCTCTGCCCTGTTTTTCCACAAGCACCTCAAAGCCACAGTTTCTCTTCAATTCTTTGCTCTATTCTTAATTAATTTTATTATTTTCTTAGAAATAAACATTAGTAAATAATAATAATGATAGAGTAATACAGTAGAACCTCCACGGTTGACCACCTCCCTACACTGACCACATGCCTGTGATAAAACTGCCTAAGGCCAGAAAAAGAAAAGAGGGAAAGGAAAATAGTGTTGAGCTCACGTCACACTATTTGTCTTGAGGCTGGAAAATCTAAAGACACGTAGGTATTGTAGAGTCTTAGCTCAGTAGACGGGAAAAATCAGCCCCCCAAACACACTTTTCCAGTCTCACTTACAAGAAGCAAAAGATTTAAACTATTTACAAGTAAACTAACTCTATCCCAGATAAAAAATGCAAGAATATTTACGCTAAAAATAGATAAGCCAGACACAGAAAGAAATATACTGCATTTTCTCACTTGTATGTAGAATCTAAAGGAAAAAAAGTCTAATATACAGACATAGAGGCCAAAAAAACGCTTACCAGAGACAGTTGGGGAGGCAGGATGAGGAGATGTAGGCAAGAGGATACTAAGTAGCAGATATGTAGGATGAGCAGGTCTAGAGGTGTGATGGACGACACCGGGATGAGAGGGAATACCATTGCACTCAACATGGGATTCACGCCAAATGATTAAATTTTAGTTGCTCTTGCCCCCCTCAAAAAAGGGTACATATGTGAGGTGATTAATATGTTAATTTGTTTCACTGTAGGAACTCTTTTACTATCTATATGTATTCTAGAATATCAATGTTATATACCTCAAATATGCGAAATAAAATTTATTTTTTAAAGAAAGAAAATATAAAAATATCCACCATACCAGGAAGAAAATTTATAATATCTAGTATCCAGTAACAATTATTTTGCATGGAAAGAAAGAGGAAATATATGACAGATAATGAAAAGAAAAATTATCTAAAACCTACCCCGATATTAGATGGGTAACACAAATGTTAGACAGATATTTAAAAATAAAAAAGTATAGGAAATGTCAGAAAAGGCACTGATGGTAGAAAAACAGACAAGAATGTTAAAAAATGCTAAAAATGTTAAACATTTGTTTAACATGTTATGCATGTTAAAAAATGTATAACAAACGTTAAAAAAGTTAATGACACATGCAAGAAAGATATAATAAAGATCAAAACTGAAATCTCAGAGACAAAAAAAGTCTCAGAAAATACCCTGTATATACAGACTGATTAGAAAAAAAGAAAAAAAAGATTTAATGAACTTTAAAGAATAGCAAGAGAAATAATCCAAAATAAAACACAGAGATATAAGAAAATTAAAACAAATAAAAAAACCACACCACTGATGAACTATAAGATAACTTCTCAGATCCTAATAAAGGTAGACTTAGAGTCTTCAAATAAGAGGGGCAGAAAATACAGAAACAATAAGTAAAAACTTTCCAGATTTGATAACTATAAACCAAAGATTCAAGATATTTTATAATGAAAACTATATGACAAAACATCAATTTTGAACTAATTTCATAAAGTAAAAAACAAAGCAATAAAAAATAGATAAACCAAAAATAAAGTTGACAACAGATTTCTCAGTTAAAAATATGCATGCTAAAAGCAGTGGAAAATTTTCTGTACTGTAGTGTGCTAAGCAAAAAATTGTCAAATATGAATTCCATACTAAGTGAACATATACATCAAAGAAAAATGTAAAATAAAGACTCTTTTAAAGAAAATATGAACAAATTAATTACTTGTATACTAGGTCTACAAGAAACATTAAAGGACGTCTTTCAGACAAAAAGAAACTAAAACCAGATGAAAATAAAAGTCTACATACAGGAAAATGAAAAGTGACAGAAATAGTAACTACATGGGTAAACATGGCATTTTTCATCATTATTTACATCACTTTAAAAGATAACTGCCTACTTAAAAATAACAACAAGGTGGAAGGTTTTTAATATACATGAGGGTGTACCATATGAAAACAATAGCAAAAGGCCGAGAAGGGAGACGGAACTGTGCTGCTGTGAACTCCACTCTGCAGAGGAAGAGCTGCAGAATCACAGGAGGGGAGACTGTGGGAAGTTGAAGCGGTAAACTGTAAGTCGTAAACAACCGGGAAAATAACAAACCAAAAAGTTACAGCTGGTGAGTAGCCAAGGAGATAAGATGGAACAGCAAATAATAATAATAATAATGCAAAAAGAAAAACAAAAAAGAATAAAGAACCAAAAGGACAAACAGAAAACAAACAGTATGATAGAATTAAAACTAATCGTATCAAAATGGCACCAAATATAAATGTTTTATCTACCTAATTAAAAGGCAAAGATTATCAGATTGCATCCAAAAAAAAAAAAAAGTGAGGCATCTAACTCCTGGTCAAATACCTATGTATGGTTTTTCTGGTGCAACCACAAGGAGATCTGATGCAATGCTTATCAAAATTCCAAATGACAGAAATTGACGAGCTGATTCTAAAATTCATTTAAAATTGCAAAGGTCCTATAATAAACAAAATAATCTTGAAAAGAAAACAAAGCTAGGAGACTAATATTACTTAATTTTAACATTTAGTATAAATTTTCAGTATCAATACAATATGATACTGGAGAAAAGAGATACAAATAGATCAATGGAACAGAATAAAGAATACAAAAAGCACCAATTTATATATGGACAACTGATTTTGTTGCAAAGGCAATTCAGAAGAGAAAGTCTTTTCAATGACTGGTGATGAAATAGCTGTGAAAACAGTTTTTAATCCATACCTTGAACAATAAATACAAATAAATTCTGAAATGAATCCTGGATATAACTATAAAAAGTAAAACTAAAACTTTTCCTAGGAAATGTAATAGAAGAATTTTGCAGCAAAGAATTCTTACATATGATACCAAAGGCATAATGAAAAAAAGAATGACTTCAAAAAATCACAAATTTTTAAAAAGTCATGTTTTTCAAAAGACACAGGTAAGGAAATGAAAAGGTAGGGAATAGGAGAAAATTTTTGCAAAGCAAATATCTAGTAAAGAACTTGTATCCTGGATATATAAGAAAACTTTCAAAAATAAGTAAACAAAATTATCTCAGTTTTAAAAATAGGCAAGGAAGAAATACAGATGACAAACACATGTCAGGATGTGCAACAATAACACTCATTAGAGAAATGTAATTAAATCCAAAATTAGATCCCACTAGACACCTATCCAAGTAGCTAACCTTAAAAACACTGATCACACCAAGTGTTGATAAGGACGCAGAGTAACCAGAACTCTTCTACAAGACTGGTTGGAAAATAAAACAAGACGAATACTTGGGAAAAGAGTTTGGCAGTTTTGTAAAAAGTCAACCATCTACCTACCACATGATCTTTCCCTTCCACCCTTAGGTATTTATCCAAGAGAAATAAAAGCATATGTTCAGACAAAGACTTATTCATTAGTATTCACAGCTTCATTTGGAAAAGACAAACACAAAACATGGATAAAGGTGTCAAAAATCCATGCAATGAAATACTATTCAGCAAATAAAAAGAAATAGACTATATGTGGGATAAAATCCCACATGCTGTGTGCTTATTTTAAACTCCAGAAACAGGCAGACAGACTTTTGTGGAATGCAGTTCTGTTGAAAACCTGGTTGCCTTGGTCAACATGGCAGGGCCTGAAAACCTACCTTCAGTAACTCTGCTCTATGTGGCCTTAAGCCTGCAAGGATAGGGTTGATAGCCCTTCCTGCAGAGACAGGCTCAGAGGTTGATGTGTGTGTGAATGCACCCACGGTAAAACGGCATGGCCTCCAGACTGCAAAGAAACAGAAGCCATAAAACTGTCTTCTGCAAAGCTCAAGGTCTTACTCCCCTTTTAGTAATCTCAAGTCTCCAAACTTTGTGTCTCCTTCGAAGGTTGAAATAACTTTAGAAAAGATTAATAGTAAGAATGCTTTGACTGTTAATTAATAAAGTATACGTGACCAACTTACTATAAATAGTGGTCAGAAATAAAGATCACTGCTACTTGCCACCATGAGCTCATAGTCTGTCTCTTAAGAAACAATTTCAGGAGCGGGCTTACACCTGTGGTGAAGCTGCCTGTTCCTTGCGAAACCCCCATGCAACAATTATATGCTACAACATGGATAACTCAAAAAATAATTATGCTGAGTGAAAGACGACACACAAAATAGTTCATACTGTGAGAGTCATTGTACAAAATTCTAAGAAATGCAAGGTAATACACAGAGGGAAAGAAAATAGATTAGTGGTAGCCCTGATGAGGGGAAGAGAACATGAGGAGGAGGAGCAGAAGGAGGAGACTGTAAAGGAGTAAGAGAAAACTGACAGGGGTGACGACATATCCGTTATCTTGATTGTAACAATGGTTTTGTGGATATATACATCTATAAAACTTAATAATTATTCTTTATATACTTACACTTTAAATATGTGCAATTTATTGTTAGTTGCAATTACAACTAAAGTTGTCAAAAGAAAAAAAGCAATACTTTTTTAAAAAACCATATATAAGCAACATTAGTTTTTTACTCACTTCCGACCGGTGTGTCTAGTCAATCTAACCATTAGCTTGTGTGCCTCTTCTGTGCTAGACTGAGTGATTTTAACAAATGAAACAGGTTTCTCAAGTCCATGTTTTTCCAAAATCTCTGACACACTATATGTGAAAAAAAAAAAAAAATTTTAAAGTCTTATTACCAAACAAAAAGAGTCTAAGAATCTTAGCATACAAGTAACACTTTAGTGATTAGCGTTAAAAATTAAAAAAGCTTCACATAGTACAACCTGATTATATCAATTTAATTCTTAGCAAAACAAAACAAAAACCTAATAATTACATAATAAATCTTATTTCCCCCACTGAATTTTGTTACAACATATTTGGGCTAACGAACACACTGAAAAATGGATGGCCTATCTTTATCTCAAAATCTTTTCTACAATTCCCTGTAATCTAAAAACATCGAGTCAGTAAATAAATCAAATCAATAATTTCAATACAACTGTAACTCTTACCAATCCTATTTAGTATTCTGTTATAGGCTGCTAGGAAAATGGTAAAGAATTTTAGAGTTGGAGGACTCACTCTCCCTCAAGAAACCATTCTATATAAATGTAAGGTACATCACAAATTCTCTTCATGTCCTATGAATCTCCTTGAGAGATCCCATTGCATAATCACCAAAGGATGGCATACCTTCAGTCTGTCTCACCAAATGTCACATTCATGGAGTGACTACTACTGAATAGAGTGGCTATAGAGAATTCACACTCTTCATATGATAGGTAATATCACATGATTTTATATAAAATAAAATACTTATCAAGTGTTTGGGGCTAGGAGGTATAATAGGAATAGTAAATTCTAATTTTACAAGTTCTGTAGATTAAGCTGAACAATGAAAGACCACAACCCTCCAGAAATCGACAGGCTGTTACTGCTTCCTTGAGTTACCTGATGACATAATACATTACTATCAGGAACATTCATGGTTACACCCACAAACATGTGCCAACTATCTCAGCTTCACTGACCAAAGATAACTATGCAGATTGTGAGGAATGAACCATATTGACCGGATCCACTAAGCTTTAGTCAAACTACATACTGAATTTTCTGGGGAGATTGGTAGGTGGAATGGTACAAGCCTGTCTACATGTACAGCAGGAAAATCTTGATGTATTGAACATTTTTCAAGAAACACAAATGTATAGTTTACAGAATGTAGAGTAACAAGAATCAGGCTAGGTAATAATAAATAGAGGTCTTAAGGAAAATTAACAGTTAATTCTCTATTAAATTCACATATATGGAACATAAGAACTTTCTGTTCCCCAACCTGCAATTTAAAATATTTATACCAAAATACTTTATTTTGAATGAATAAAATGTCTAAATTCTTGGAGTCCAAATTATTATACTTTACTATGCATATTAAAGTAACATTATCTATAATTTCCACAATTATATGTAGGAAGAACAAAGTTTATTATCTCAAAATCTTATTTTTCATACAATATTTGTTACATGTACACATTTATATAAACATATATGCTAGTACACAATTTCCTGAAAGCAAATTAAGACTATTTCCAATTCCATAAGAGACATTTTAATATCTCCTTATGACTATAAATAATATTACTACAGAGTTACATGGGGCTCTAGTGCAGTCTGACATCATCCAAATAATCAGTCAAATGTACTGTTCCTAAAAAAGGAAAGCTAAAAGTAAAATAAAAATCATTTGCTGATCAGCATGTGATAATTGCTGCAGGAACTCATATTTCTTATGTCTCTACTATGTGTGAGGCACTTTAAATGCTTAATCTAGTATTATTTTCATAGTCCCAGAGTCAGATATTATATGTAAGAAAACCTGAGGCCCAAAGATTGCATAGCCAGTAAGCGGCAATGACTAGATTTAAACATAGACTTATCAGCCCATGTGCTTATTAAGCTACCACTCTGCTACAATAAGGTAATGGTGCACTTATTACTGAGAAAATTAAGTCCTGATAAAGTCAAGCAAATAAGAGGAAATATGACTAATAGTCCGACTTCAGTACATTTCCTGGACAGCCCCCTTAATAAGTTTAGCGCCAAAGACTGTCATTTTTCTCACCTGAGAATTTGTTCCAGCTGGTCTACCATATCATGAAGAGCTGTAGTTAACTCTGTCTTCTCACTGAAAAAATTAAAGAAAAAAGGTAAAAATAAATTTTCATAATGTTGTTTAAAATAAAATATAAAACCCGAGTAAGCAGAAAGAAAGGAATAATGTTTCTCTTATATTTAAAATAATGTTACACTATCCAGGTAAAATTTCTGAATTCATTTAGCATTTTTCATAACTCAAGAGATTAAGAAATGATGAAATAAGACAATATTCTCTGTTATAGATTAGTCAGATATGAGCAACTATTTACTAATGTACTCTAAGTTCAATTGTGCTTAAAGGCAAAAAAGAATTAAAAGACAACTGAAGTTTCCATATGGACTCCATATACCCAGGGGAGATCTTTCATATATAATCACTCCCTCTGTAACAAGAGAATCACATCCACTTCAATATTAAGGAACTAGGAAGAAATATATCTTTAATATCAACACTTCTAACAGGTAGAGGAGACAAAAAGCAATGCTTTCTTAGGAAGCCAGTGGATAGGGACTAGTAGAAATATCATCTATTATGAAAAAGATCACAAGCTAATAAAGATATGGCTGGTAGACAATTAAATGTAGCACAACACACAGAAAAGCTTAGAAACTGCTATAAAGCAGTTTCACTGAAAACAAATCTATGCCCCAAATACTCTAAGAAACACACATCTGACACTCTCAGGTGCTTTCTGAACATTGCTCCATTCTTTTGAAACTTCACTTAGAAGAATGTTCTCTAGTTCCATCCAGGTTGTTACAAAAGGTATTCTCTTATCATTTTGTTTATGGCGGAGTAGTACTCCACGGTATACATATACCACATTTTATTAACCCACTCATGTATCGATGGGAACTAGTTTGGTTCCACATCTTTGCAATTGTGAACTGTACTGTTATGGACATTCTAGTGTATGTGTCTTTTTGATAAAGTGACTTTTTTTCCTTTGGGTAAATCCCCAATAGTGAGATTGCTGGCTTAAACACCACATGTATTCACCATTACACTGGAACTAACTGATTAACACTCATGTGCACGTTTGGTAGTAAAACTCAACAGAAAGCCAGAAGATGGGAGGGGGAGAAGAAGAGGGATAAACTCATACCTCACGGGGACAATGCAGTGTTGGGAAGGGGGAATGTGCTTCTCACTTCTCTCCGGGTGAGAAGCACACTTCTTTGATTCAAACTAAACAAAGGGAATTCATGTACCCCAAACATTTGTACTCCTGTAATATTCTGAAAAATTTTTTAAATGGTCTAACTAAATTCAGGCAAGATCTTAGGGTTTTAAGTAGTAAGAAATCCAAATAAAAACCTTTGTCTAGACGAAAATTAGAAATACCCTAACTTGAACACAAAAGCTTCATTATTTTTAAAACTATCAATCTGATTGATCTAAATCTAGGCCACAATTATTCAGCACAACTAACAAAGATTACAATATCTTTTTAAACCAAGTTTTAGGCTTTGGGCTAGACTGATAAGTTGAATACATTCCACTTAAAATCTTTCAGAGGGTCATCAATCAGAACAAACTTCCATTATCACACTTATTCAATGATTTTTTTTAAATTATCATTTTACAGCTCTGTAAGAAACATTTGCCATAGATATTAAAGAATATAGTGTCTGTTGTGAACTGACATTCACAAAGATAATGACTATTTTTTGCAGCTAGATTACGTCGTGTCAGTAAGATGCAAAAAAATTTAATAAGATTAAAAAAGGGGTTGTTGTTTCTTAAATGGTAAATATACGTACATATACGTGTATATATGTATACATACATTTGATGAATAACAACTAAAACTAAAAATAAATTAATGATTGGGAGGATATAAACTAAAACTTAGCATGAAGAACAAATAGAACCACAAAAAATATTTTGAGACCTATAGTTCAACGAGGCTAATGTATAATTAAAATTTATTTAGAAAATCAGAAATGTAAAATATAATCATTAAAAAGTAAATGGAATAACAAGAAAGTCTCAAACCATTTTTGCATTAACCTAAAAATTATGTTAGATCTGCTATCATTAATCTGAAGCCAAAAAAAAAAAAACCTTTTAGCCATTTATACAGGAGAGGTATTTCTCAGCCTACACACTCCTCAGAAACAAATATAATGATCCTCTAGTTGTAACATCTACATTAAAAGTCCTGTCAATATCATAATTCCATTGATACTATAACTTTTTTCATGACAGCAATATTAATATTTAAAAATTAATAAACTCTAATTGATTTTAACCTTACTAAAAAACAAAGTCTTTTGTATTTTAAAAATTTATACCCAAGAGTTAGAAATCAACGATTTTACCTAGTCAATTTGAGATTAAGAAATGGGTCACCATGCCAAAAGAGAAACCATCAAGTTTCCCATTCAGCCCATAAGACAGACATGCCCTGCTCTCTAGGGTGGTGGTGAAGGAAGTCTCTACATCTCTTGTCACCCTCTGGAGAGGAGCAGTTTGACTGATATGCTCTGGGTTGGGGTTCTTAAATGATGGGAAACAACATTTTCCTATAAAAATTCTTTAATAGGCTCAGTGCCTATAGCTCAGCAGTTAGGGCGCCAGCCACATACACTGAGGCTGGCAGGTTCGAACCCAGCCCAGGCCTACCAAACAACAACTACAACAAAAGAAAAAACCAGCCGGGCGTTGTGGCAGGTGCCTGTAGTCCCAGTTTCTTGGGAGGCAAGAGAATCACTTAAGCCCAAGAGTGTGAGGTTGCCTTGAGCTGTGACTCTGCAGCACTCTACCAAGGGTGACATAGTCAGAGTCTGTCTCAAAAAAAAAAAATTTGTTAATAAAATCACCTTTACCTGCCCTCTGCTGCCTACTGAAGGTCTGCGGTGACCAAAGACACACTTGGTAGATTCTTTACTAAGAGGGTAGCCTGTAGTCACACCTGTACAGGTTTGAGTAACAAACAGAAGCTGAGTCCACTCTGATTTACCTCTCCCTGTATGAAGATGCCCAGGCTTAGACTGAGAAAGAGAAGTGGTAAGTACTACTCTGATCCCCATTTAACTTTACTGTTAATGAAGTTAATGCTTTGATTCTTTCTTAGTGCTCATAGTTAAAATCTTGATGAGGAGAGATAAATGGTTGAGATCTACAAACCACCATTTCTGAATATTACAGAATCTAAGGGAGACTACCATCCTCACACACAACAAAAAAATCAAAACTGAAATAAGACTGTCAAGCCGTGGCTATCTGGTTGCACACAGTGCCATGACAAAAAAGATTGTGCTTGTCAAAAAAGATAATGCAGATCACAGAAGTACAGAAACAAATAAACTTGAAGTTTCATAATTAGCAGAATTGAACATACATGCACACACACTCCAGTTATCATCCCTTATCTCACATGTGAAAGGTAAAAGGACTTATCTTTCACAAGGGACTTCATTCTCTGGATAGTACTCTGCACCCAAACTACTCGGCATAGCTGGGAAAGGTGAAGAGCTACCACACTGAAATAAGGCAACTGATTAAGAGCCTGAATCATGGTACTTAAGTCCCAGTTCTCCAAAATATTTATATCTGGACTGTTTCACCCACGAAAAAGATCAGAAGATTCCACACTAAGGAAATCAACTAAAGATAAAACCTAAGTCTCCTTCCCTGACCTTGTTATAGTTTCATCAGGAAGTAAGCCTATTCTCTACAAATACTTTCTGATCACCTTTATACTGCCTTAAACACCATACGTAAATTAATGGTCAAGAATCAGTAGATACACAAGAAAAATCCCTAATAGCAAAGGTAGAGATGTAAACAAACAATATGAAAAATGAGAGATTGGAGAGGTTTTGGAGGTAATGGGGAGAACAGAAGGACATGCATCTATACATCTGGGAAACAAGACTGAGATTATTTTTTTGAGTGAACAAGAAAAAATTTAATTAAAAAGTGTGGTCCCACCTAAAGGGCACAAGGTAAGGAAGGTTATGTAGCACACCTCCTGGGGGCAGGACACAGTTAACAACAGGGACCTTACCCAACAGATATAATCATTGTAACCTAATCCTTTCTACCCTCATTTTAATCTGAAATTTAAAATAATTAACTCTACACCCTTACATTATATACCTGGGGGGAGGTGAGGATAAGTAACACCTAATAGTTACAATGCACACTATTTGGGTGATAGACACACTTGTAACTTGGACTCAAACTATACTAAAACAATTTAACAAAAAAAAGAAAGAAAGAAAGAAAGAAAGAAAGAAATTCAAGTTAATATATAATTAAATCAAAAAAATAATTAAAAATCCAAAATCAATTTTAAAGTTCAAAAGATGGATTAAAAGATAAAACTGAAGAAATCTCCCAGATCACTTAAGAAAATACCAAAATATGGGAAACAGAATAATAAGAACAATAAACAAATACATAAACATAAAAGAATTATAATTAAATAACAAATTCAGGGGCTCAGCATCTATGGCTCAAGCGGCTAGGGTGCTGGCCACATACAGAAATGGAGGGTTTGAACC